CACACTTTGCACTCGAGCTTAAGCTTGTGTGGGCACTCACACACATTGAGCACTCAAAACTGTCGATAACGCAGCAAATAATAAGTAAAAGTGCTAAAGAAAAAAAAAAAAAAAAAAAAAAAAAAAAAAAAAAAAAAAAAAAAAAAAAAAAGAAAAAAAAAAAAAAAAACTAGAAAAAAAATAAAGAAAATAAAGAAAACGCCCAGTGGCAATGAGGTAGTTAAAGTCAATATTGTAATATCGCAAATAATGTGGCGTTCCAATTTATCAACGCTGCGCCGCACTGTCAGCGTCGCTGACACTTTAGTAGAAAATAAAAACAGCTGATACACTACAAAACACTTGATCACTGACTGATATAACGTAGATAAAGATCGGCCACTTTTCATTTCATTTCGGGCGGGGTGCTTGAGAATCATTTTTATTTCTTTTTTGCCCACCCACTTAAAGTCGCCGGTCGCTGATAAGTCAAATTACCAAAGAGATCATATGTTTCATACCGTTATATTTAATATCAATTGACTAAGATAAAATCGGTTAACGTCTCGAATTAGTTTAATTCAGGCGTGTGTCTCGTGCTGTATTGTTAGCTAAATGATACTTATTTTGTTTTTACAAAAACTTGCAAGCTTGTTTGAAATTAGAACTTTGACGTAGCTCGCTCTCAAAATTTATTATTTTCAATATGAATCATGTTTTCTGTATTGTCTTTTATTTATGTAGTTAGTGATAGTTTTTAAACACTACAAAATATTTCAGGAAAAGTAGCAGGTTATTGTTGTACCGTGTTGACAGTCCATTCCGGTTACTTAGGCCCAACTGCCTTGGGAGCGGTTGGGTTAGTTAGTGTTTGTGTGTCTAAATGAATAAGTGCCATGCTTTGGCATTTTACCGGGTATTTTGGATGATGGAAATGCCAAATCAAACTATGGCGGAAAGATGTGGTTAGTGAGTAGTTGTGGGGTTTGCTTTCAGTAAGGTAGCAGTAGAGTTACTGCTCTGGAGTGCAGCCTCCTTCAGATGACTATTCATTCTGATAATACGACGGTGATATTTGGCCAAGCGTTCAGGGTTGAATAATAAATTCTTAACGCTTTGCTCAATGGGCTCTTGAGAACTTTTAAAAATATCTGAAGTTTCGAGCCAAATTTTGTTCAGTGAAGAGGCTCATTTCTGGCTCAATGGGTATGTAAAAAACAAACTTGTCGCTGAAAAAAAAGTTTTTTTTTTGGGATTTGTTAGTCGGTGAAATCATCGGTCCATATTTCTTCAAATAATGATGATCCATATTTCTTCAAATAATGGTGAGAAAGTACTGGGCAATGGCAACCGTTATCGCGCCATAATAACCGACTATTTTTTGCTTGAAATTCAAGTACGTGATCTCGGCGACATTTGGTTTCAATAAGACGGCGCCACTTCGCTTGAGCAGATACTTTCAAGTTTTGGGTTGTTCGATTGGCCACCAAGGTCGTGTGATATCACACCGTTCGATATTTTCCTGTGGAGATATGTAGAGTCTAAAGTGTATTCGCCAGCTACCAGTCGAAATTCTGCATTAAATATAAAGTTTCTCTGTTTTTTCTTTAAAAAAGTATGGAACCTCGAAATTTATCATCCTTTATATATTGTTATACTCTCGCAACAAAGTTGCTAAAGAGAGTATTATAGTTTTGTTCACATAACGGTTGTTTGTAAGTCCTAAAACTAAAAGAGTCAGATATAGG